GGGGGGAGGGGGGAGTGGGGGGGCTCAACAACAGCCCAATCTGTAAAATGAGAGTGCTTTATAAAAGCTTTGGGGGGATTTCAGTTAGCTGGCCACAGTAAAGATTGGTTTTTAAGGTTTTGTCAGGGAACTGAGGTAAACTACTACTGTAAATACACGTGTACTGGTGTATATCATGGATAAGGTCCATGTCGGCGGCTGGGTCTTTGAAGTAATAGCAGCATCAGCTCATGGTGATCAAACACTGGCTCCTTCAGGCCAAGCAAGAAGCTACATGCTGTGTTTTGGTTAAACATGTGTTTTGGACTGATGAACAGCACAGTGCAGATGTCGGTGTGTGTCAGAGCCTTCATTTATTTCCACCCTCTCACGTACCAGCACGATCAGTTGAGTATTACTGAGCTGAGAAGTACCTTTTCTACTTTTACCACTTCCCTGAAGCAGAAATCCACTCACCTGGGTTTGGAAACGCTGAGCAGAGCCCAGACACGAGGCACAGCAGAAAAGTGAGAGAAGTCATCGTAGGAGGAGCTGTAGATAAACAACAAGTACAGCAGTAAAACTTCAAGTATCCCCATCAGAAATATGCTTGAGTTAAACAAGCAGCAGTCTTTATAAACAAGGTAGAAATAATTTACTTTAATTCCGTTCAGCTGAGCAGAGGTGGCCAGAAATGGTACTCAAGTAAAAGTACTGTTACTTCAGAATAATTTTACTCAAGCAGATGTAAGAAGTAGTCATCCAAATAATTACTTGAGTAGAGTAGAAAAGTACTTGGTGAAAAAACTACTTAAGTACTTTTGAGTAACATCTGATTTATTTTTTAATGAGCATTCAATGAGCTAGACCAAATTACAGAGAAGAGAGTTTATCCTATCAATATAATATTAAAATAAAACAAATTAAGAGTAGATAAAAATAAATATTTACAAAATAACCATTTTCAACTTACCGCAACATATTTCCTCAGGTTAGACGTTAAGTTTTTGATTGCTGAAATAATCGTTTGTTTTGGACACAAAAAAACACAGCATGATGTAACTGCTGTTTCGTTTGTGAAACTGAACAAGTTTTCAATATGAGTCCAGGGGTGTGTCTCCTTGTCTTCGTCTGCATTGCTGACCGTTGATTCTACCTTTTTTTTTTTTTTTTTTTTTTTTCAAAGACAAGACGCTAAACTGACCCGTCCCGCTGCTGAGGTTGAGTATGGTCGTGTAACAAGACTACACGGCGAAGGCTACGTTTTATTGGTTAAACACAGTCACGTCTCTCTCTGACAGAATAAAAGTAGAGATATCGACGAATAGAGAACTGGATAATGGCTCGCTAAAGCTTTATCCAGTATCTCTGATAAAAGTAAGGAGCTCAGTATAGCCTAATGTAGCGGAGTAAGAATACTGTTTCTTTTTCATAAAGCTACGCAAGTAAAAGTCAAAAGTATAGTGATTTAAAACTATTATACTCCTAAAAGTATTTTATTTTAAAAACTTACTCAAGTAAATGTAACTCGTTACTACCCACCACTGCAGCTGAGGTAGTGTGAGGACACGTACTGTACACTGTACACAACTGTACTATAACTGCAGACTGGGATAACAACCTCCATGAATCCTAAAAACAGTTTTTACAGGTCTGAAAAAAAGTCTCAGTTGTACAGAGACCCCTGAAGTAAACATTTAAAGACACTTTGTCACAAGTACAAAAACCCAAGACCACCAACAGTGTACTGCATCCTAACTGTGTGCTTTTGATTCAAATACAAATCGACCGGTTCTTTATTGTTCCTATGAAATCACTGACGACTGTCGACGACTTGTCTACACTTTGTCACTGCAGTCCTGACAAATAAATACATAAATAAAACACAATGTCTACACTTTGTCACTGCAGACAAATAAATACATAAATAAAACACAAAGTTAACAATATTTATAAAATCTGTTGTTTTATGGTTTTTGTTATTTATTGTCCTGTTCCTTTCACAGGTGCAGATGATACTTCAACAAACACTCGTAAAAAATGAGTCATAGTGGTTCTACTGCCACATAGAGGAAGCAGTTAGTACTGCACTCCTGCCTGTATCGTGAACAAACAACCATTCACACTCACATTCACATCTATGGTCAATTAAGAGTGAATAATTAAGCTGGTCACAGTTGAAAGACAATCGGTTACTACCAGGTTTTGAACATGACATCTTCCTGCAGTGAGGCAACAGCACTGAGCACTCCCCCACCGTGTGACCAGGTTTGTTTGTTTTTTTTAATTTGAGGCTCTACAAACCTAAAGCTGTGGGAGAAGTCATATATTTACTGTGTCTTCTGTCCTGAAACAAACAAAGTAAAACGTTTTACACCGTTGTTGCAGTACAACACAGTACTGCTTTATAGAGTACAATATGTCATTTATGTGTATTCATATGTCATTTTATAAGAATTATAGTAAAACCTCCCCTCTTATCTTGGCCTTTTCTTAATGTTATATTCAACTTTTATTGTATTTCATATATTTATATATATATTTACGGTGGCGCTTTTGCCCAGAGGCAATGTCTCTGTCATTGGTGTGGAAGCCCAGGGGTCACCTCCTGGGCAAGTTCAAATCCCAGTTAGGGCTGATGGTACCTTCCAGTGGACTCACCAACCACAGGAAGGTTCAGGGGGGTTGGTACGGTGCAGTGTGACTTGGGTGGGGGTCATGGAGGCTGCTGCCCCCGCGACCCGGTAAGGGATAAGTGGATGAAAATGGATGGATGGATGTATATTTATGTGTTTTACCATATATATGTTGATTGTATTTTCTTAAAATGTACTTTAATTAATTGGCTGTTCTTTATCTCTGAGGTCGTGTCAAAAATCTTTGACTCCACCAGTACTGCAGTACTGATTGTAGTGATGATATTAACAACTGTACCAGTAAGTACAGTGAGGAAAACAAGTCACAAAAACAAAAACAAAAAAATGAGAAAAGTCCAGTGTGATCTGCATCTGTTCTCTTTTTTCTTCTGACACTAAGACCAATGAAGAGAATGAGTTGAGAACCACAGCAGATGTGTGGTCCAACTGTCTCCCAGCTGTGCTGCCACTGATAAAGAGCCACCCAGGTATCTGTCACGTCATCTGTCATCTGTCATCTGTCAGGGGGCTCTGAAGTGCTCCTGTGTGTCCCCTCACTTCTGCTATCGCTGCTCTAATCAGCCTG